TGCATTTCTCTGAGTTCTCTCTTTTCCCATGGTTATTTGATATTTTGAACCTTGGTTATGGAGCAAGATAACATCTTTATTCTTATTATTTTTTTGTGGCTGGCCAGACAGGAATTTGAACCCTTGACCTTGGTGTTATAATACTGCACTCTAACTAACTGAGCCAACTGGCCAGCTAGATGATATTTTCATCAGTCCCCATCCCTCCCCTTCTATGGTGATAGTCTGGCCATTTACCTTCAGATTTACCAGAGAGATGGCTTAGCCTAACTTCTCTCCTCAGATCACTGGTGTTCTGAATAAAAGCTGCCTTCCATTTTCACCGACATTTGACTTCTGGGTGGTCTGTTTTTGAAAGCAGGCAGGCAGACAGACCTATGCCTGGTAACACATTTTGGTGAGCCAAGCTGGGAGCTGAGTGCCCTGGCGTAACACAGTTTGGTGAGCTGAACCAGGAGCTGAGTGGCCCAATATCAGTCAGAAGTCGTACAAATACTACAGGGTGTTGGCAAATCATCCAGCTTCTCTGTAAAGGACAGAACAAACTGTTTTCCTCTCGCTCACACACTCAACACAGAATGCTTCTCTGACCAGATGTGGGGACATTTCCCCACACACCAAACAGTTCTCCAGTGGCCACCAACTGGGTAGCCTATAATTCGAATCTGATACTATCTATCTGAAGACAGCATCAGATCCCATAGGTTCGGGGCTCAATCCCACAAGGCTGCCCCCACTTCAGACGCAAGTCGCAAAACCGGCTACAAACCAGAGTTCCTGCGACCTCTCCCTTGGGTTCAATTAATTTGCTAGGACAGCTTCCAGGACTCAGGGAAACACTTACCTTTCTTTACTGGTTTATTATAAAAGATACAGTTGAACAGCCAGATGAAGAGATGGATAAGGCAAAGTATGAGTGGAGGCATGGAGTTTCACGCCACCCTCCCAGAACCTTCCTTGTGTTCAACAACCAGAAGCTCATCAAATCTCACTGTTCTAAAGTTTTTACAGAGCTTGATCTCTAGCCTTCCCCACCCACTCAGAAGTCAGTGGGTGGGATTTAAAGTTTAACGCTGTAATCAATGGGTCTTTCCAGGGACCAGCCCCAGTCTGAGGCATTCTAGGGGCCCCACCCTAAGTCACCTCATTAGCATAAACTCAGGTGTCTTCAAAAGGGGCTCATAACAACAAAAGACACTCCTATCACTCAAGAAATTCCAAGGATTTTAGGAATCTGTGACAGGAACTAGGGACGAAGGCCAATATAGTTTATATTATACTGCATTCTCCCAATGATCGCATCTTATATAAAATAGTACAATGTCAAAACCAGGAAATTGATATTGGTAAAATACTGTTAATTAGGTCAAATACAGATTTTATCAGTTTTAAAATGCACTCTGCTGTGGATCAAATGTTTGTGTCCCCCTCAAATTCATATGTTGAAACCCTCACCCCCAAAATGATAGTATGAGAAGGTGGAACCTTTGGGAGGTGATAAGGTTTAGATGAGGTCATGAGGGTGGAGCTTCCATGACAGGATAAGTGTCCTTACATGAGGAACAGACCAAAGCACTCTCTTTCTCTCCACCATGTGAGGATACAGCAAGAAGGGGGCCTTCAGCAAACCTGGAAGAGAGCTCTCAGTAGGCATTAAATCTGCCAGCACTTCCATCTTGAACATTTCAGCCTCCAGAACGGTGAAAAAAAGTGTTTGTTAGGCCGGCCCGTGGCTCACTCGGTTGAGTGCGGTGCTGATAACACCAAGGCCACGGGTTCGGATCCTATATAGGGATGGCCGGTTTGCTCACTGGCTGAGCGTGGTGCTGACAACACCAAGCCAAGGGTTGAGATCCCCTTACCGGTCATCTTTTTTTAAAAAAAAAAAGTGTTTGTTGTTTAAGCCACCCAGTCCACAGTATTTTGTTATAGCAGCCCAAGCTGAATAAGACAAACTCATTTCTGTGTTTGTGAATAATTATATGCAGTTTTGTCCCACATAGAGGTTTGTGTTGCCCTCACCAGAATCAAGACACCCAGCTGTTCCACCACCACCAAGGAATTCCTTCATACTATACCATGAAGTACAGTCGCACCCCTCCCCCACCCCATCCTTAACACTCTAAATTAGCAACCACTAATTTATTCCACATCTCTATAATTATGTTATCTTGAGAATGTTACATAATTTTCATTCAGCAAATACTCTGAGATACATCCAGGTTGTTGCGTGTGTAATAATTCTTGCATTTTCATTGCTAAGTAGTGTGCTGTTGTATAGATACACCCCAGTTTGTTTACCCATTTGCCCACTGAAAGACATATGGGTTATTTACAGTTTGGGGTGTTACAAACAAGGCTGCTGTAAACATTCATGTATAGGATTTTGCATGAATAAAAGTTTTCATTTTTCTGGGATAAATGCCTCAAAATTGCTGGTAATTGCTGGTTTGTGTAGTAAGTACATGTTTAGTCTTCTAAGAAACTGATGAACTGTTTGTCAGAGTGTGATACCATTTTATATTTTCACCAAGAATATATGAGGGATCCAGTTCCTCCACCTCTTTGTCAGCATTTGGTATTATCATCGTTTTTTATTTTAGCCATTCTAATCGATGTGCAGTGATATCTTGCTATGGTTTAAATTTGCATCTCCCTAATGGATAACGATGTTGAACATCTTTTCATGAGCTCATTTGCCATTTGTATATACTCTTTGGTGAGTAGCAATTTAAGTTTTTTAATATAGGTTTTGCACATTTCTTATTTTTTCATAGATTTTTCTCTCTTCCTATTTTAATTGGCATATTTTTTAAAATGCCATCTTTCAATTAGATATTGTATAAATGAAAACTCAATTTTGTACCACACTACCTTAAAGAATTTCTTTAGCTTTTTAAAGGCTTTTTTTTGTGTGTGTGTGTGTGTGTGTGTATGTGTGTGTGTGTGACCGGTAAGGGGATCGCAACCCTTGGCTTGGTGTTGTCCGCACCGCGCTCAGCCAGTGAGCGCACCGGCCATCTGTATATAGGATCCGAACCCACGGCTGGAGCGCTACTGCGCTCCCAGCGCCTCACTCTCCCGAGTGAGCCACGGGGCTGACCCGAGTGTTAAAGGCTTTTAACCAGGAATATCATGATCAAATTTGTGTGTTTGAAAACATCACTTCGACTATTCTGTAGAGATTAGATTGAAGGAGGCCAGGAGCAGATGAGGGAAGGCCAGTTAGGAGATTTCTTCATTAGTCTAGGTGAATGGTGATGATGGCTTGGACCAGAATAGGGTGGTAGCCATGGAGGTGGAGTGAATTTGACAGATGAGAGATTTTGAAAGTAGAACTGGATCTGAACAGATTGGATTAAGCAGGGGTTGAGGGAAGTGAAGGGGATGGAAGAGTCCAGATTTATGCTTGAGCTTTTGGATGGATGGATGTATAAATAAATAATAGATGGATGGATGGGGAGATGATGGATGGAGATGGGGAAGACCAAAAGGAGAACAGATTTTTAGGGAAAGACTAAAATGCGGTTTTGCAACATGTTATGTTTGAGGTGCCTGAGAGCCATGCAAGGGGATTTGTCAGATAGGGAGTAGGAAATAAGATTTTGGAGCTCAGAAGACAAGGGAGGGACTGATGGTGTAAATTTGACGTGGGATTTATATGTACACGGATATCACATAGGTAACATTTAAAGCAATAGGAATGGACAAGGCCACCTAGAAAGGAAAGGAAAGGCCGGCAACACCCTGAAGCATGCAACATTTAAGGGCTGGATGGAGGAGACAAATAGCCAGAGAGGTGGAAGGAAGACAGTTAAGATGCCATGTTGCAGAAGCCCAGAGAAACTGTGTGCCTCAAGGACAAAGTAGTCACAAATCAAATGACACCGAGAGGACAAGAAAGATAACTGGAAACAAAAAAGTCTGTTGTATTTGGCCACTTGAAAAGTTTGATCCCTTTTTACTCAGAATTCAAGCTCTGAGAATAGTGTTTCCCTTCCCTGCAGGTGCTTCTGCACCGCTTTAACTCAGGGTGATGTTTTAATCACCCCCTTTTTTTGCTTATCTGTGTTTCTTTATCTTTCTACAACAATAAATATATGTAGCAATAAAAAAATCCATTGAGTTCAGTGATAACATCTGCCCATTCCTGAGCACAGTGCGGCCAGCAGGGGGGCATCACTATAAGATGCTGCTAAGGAAACAGTGGCAGGAAAATTACTAATAATACTTTGTGGCACTTATCCTGCGCACCCTTGGCCTTGTTCTGGACTACTGAGCTGAGAGCTCTGTCTGAGGCCGAGGCTCTAATGCCTGGATCAAGGGGCAGAAAGAACTGAGGGTTCTTTTGCCGTATCTACCTGGAGGTTGACTGAAGTTTTGGGTTGCTAAGTGCACTGTTTAATTTAGAAGCCCTTTTATCTCAGATCTCATGGTCACGGTTTTTAATAAGGGGAAAGAAGGGGTGGAATTAATTAAGCCTAGAGGAAGGGACTTTGAAGGGCGGAGCTAACTAAGGTGGAAGAAAGGAAAGCACTTAAAATAAAGGGCCCACACTGGCTGCCAGGGAGGTGCAGGACCAGCAAGCAGGAAGCTGGGCTGCTCTGCTGCCTTCTGCCACCTTTCACTGCACACCCACTGCCTCTCCCCTCCTGCGTGTGCGTCTGTGAGAAGGAGCCAGAGCCCCCAGGGAGATGATGGGGCCCGAGGAGTACAGACAGAGAGGTGAGCATCCCCAGTCCTCTTCCCTGCGGCCGCTCCTGCAGAAACAATGGCTGGGGGTGGCCCTTTTAGATTTTAGGGTGTGATTTGGCTGGATTGTTAGAATTGCCTCCTGAGAGTTGGCTTCAGCAATATTTTTCCCGAGAAAGGAATGTGGGATCCAAGTTTAAAACTTCTCTCCGGCCGGCCCGGTGGCGCACTGGAGAGTGTGCCGCTTGGGAGCGCGGTGGCGCTCCCGCCGAGGGTTTGGATCCCATGTGGAGACCGGTTCCGCTCACTGTCTGAGCACGGAGCGGGCGCAACACCAAGGGTTGCGATCCCGTTACCGGTCAGTAAAAAAGACAAAAAAGGAAAAAAAAAAAAAAACAAAAACAAGAAAACTTCTCTCAAGCTCTCTTTCATGCTGCCTCTCATATACCCACTCTCCTACACATCCCCATGACCATGCCTTGCTTCGTCTCTCTACTTTCTTGCAAAATAGAGGATTTGGATTCCTGATCCACTAAGTGTGTAAAAAGGGGTTACTCATATTATGAAGTAGAAAAAAAATTTCCCTAAGTATTCTGTAGTCACTGCAAAATCTTTTCTTACTTCACATTCATTTCTCTATGCGTGAATCTCTCAGTAGTGTCCTTTCATGTAGTTATTCATCCCATAAATATTTAGTAAGTGTCTGCTATGTATCAAGCAAAAATGGTTATCCTGTTTTCAGGCATGACTCTCCTTAGAGGGGAAGTAGGTGGTTGCTTACAAGAGAATCTTGAATGTCTTTATTTCTGTCATTTTCTATGTGTTCATCCCCACTGGTAGGTCAGATTGCCTAAAACTCCTTTGCTGTATTGTTCTCTGTTAAAACCCAACTTTTTGTCTCTCTCCTGCACAGAGAGGGGTGAGTTATAGCTTTTACACTTTAATATGTATTAGTGTATTCCATTGTTTTCCAAGGGCACGTTTAGCTGAGAGCAAGTTCCTGTGGACCTATATCCTGTGAGTGGAACACAAATTCATTTAATACTGTTTCTGGACAAGTGGAAGTCTAGGTCCAGATCTCCAGAGCTCTGGTGGGGTGCTGCTGGAGTCCTGAAAGCCTCCGGGCTGTGGGAGGGCTGGAGGAAAGCAGGAGGAAGGGAGGAGGGTGTGCAAATATGTCCCTGTCTCCTCAGTTTTGTCTGGAGCTGGTTCTGTTCAGAATAAATTGGTGTGAACTGATGCAGAAGGAAGAAATCGGGTTTCTGCCCCTTTATTTATTTACTTTTTTCTTTTTTGCAAGAGGAGAAGAAACCTAGGGAACACTAAGAAAGGGTTATGGATATTGAGAGAAACAGAGATACACCCCCCCCCAAACGGAGAGAAACAATAAAAGAGAGAGACGAGAGAGCAAGTGACAGAGGCATTTAAGACTGAGACCCTCTCTTGGAGAAATGAAAGGGAAGAAAGAATAAATAATGTACAGTGGTCTCAGAGTATTCGACTTGGCTTTTAAATTTTTTTTGATTTTTCTTTCTTTTTCATTTGTTCATTCACTTGATACATTTTTTTGAGCGTCTAGAAAATGTTCAAAGCACTAAGATGTTGGTGGAGACAGTGGGGAGAGACGGCACCACATTTCTCTGAGATTTCAGGCTAGTGCAGGGGTTCTTGGTCTGGGCCTTTGGTTGTGTTTCAGGGATCCCACGAAGCTCAGAAATTATACAAAAAATCGTGCGTGTGTGTGTGTATGTGTGTGTGTGTAAGCTTATAGTTTAAATCAGCTTCTTGAAGAAGTTCNGGGGAGAGACGGCACCACATTTCTCTGAGATTTCAGGCTAGTGCAGGGGTTCTTGGTCTGGGCCTTTGGTTGTGTTTCAGGGATCCCACGAAGCTCAGAAATTATACAAAAAATCGTGCTGGGGAGAGACGGCACCACATTTCTCTGAGATTTCAGGCTAGTGCAGGGGTTCTTGGTCTGGCCTTTGGTTGTGTTTCAGGGATCCCACGAAGCTCAGAAATTATACAAAAAATCGTGTGTGTGTGTGTGTATGTGTGTGTGTGTAAGCTTATAGTTTAAATCAGCTTCTTGAAGAAGTTCATGAATCCGAAAAAGTTGAGGGATGACTGATCCAATGGGAATGGTGAACAAAGAGATTTTTTGTCCTTTATCGGAACTGGGTGTGGCAACTTGCCATCTGTGCTAACAAAGAATATGGGGTAAATTAATTTATTCCTGTAAGCAATGAATTAATAGATGTTTTGTTTCTGAGAAGAAACAAAAGGCAGAAGAGATGATCAGACATGTGGATAAGTGAAGGGGAGAGAAAAAGAAATATTTCACGTTGGTGCTAGAGTTTTGTGCTTTGGAGATTTTCCCTCTTGTTCATTAACTCACTCATACATCCCCTTCGTCATTTCATTCACTCTCTTATTTTTTTTTGTTCTGAGGACAAGGTCATGCCAGGGATCAGGTCCTCACTTTGGCCCATGGATCCATCTCTTCTTCACCCAGTCTCTTGGCCCTACCATAGAGGGACGAGTATGAATTGGCCAGGCCCAGTCAGGGGCTGTGAGCCTGGTCCTCTGCCTTCCTTCTAGGGAGAGAGATGGTGGATTACATCTGCAAGTACCTGAGCACTGTGCGGGAGAGGCGCGTGACTCCAGATGTGCAGCCTGGCTACCTGCGTGCCCTGCTGCCTGAGAGCGCTCCCGAGGAACCTGACAGCTGGGACAGCATCTTTGGAGACATTGAGCGAATCATCATGCCTGGGGTGAGATACAGTGACTGCAAGCAGGATTCTGGGTTTGGGGGCACAGGAGGGTGCATAGTGGCCTAAAGAAAGGCCTGCCTTGCATCAGTCTGGGATGACAATGTGTCCTTCAGCCACATAGCCACCAATATCCAAGCCCATCTTCTGAGCATGTGGAGGGCCAGGACTTTGACTGGAAGTAGGTTTCTGGTGCCAGTGCCAGCCTGTAGTGTTGGGGGGTGGGGAGGGGTGGAGAGTTGTGTTGGGGGAACAACGACTGCATCCCTGGGCATGTTCTGGCAGAACATATAGAAATCTAAGGAGAAGAGCTGAGAAGTGGAAATTGGGTCTGGGGGGAAAGATAACCAGAGAGCAAGACAAGAGACAGGAGTCTGGAGATAGTCCCTGGGTCCTGACGGGCAGAGCCAGGGCCTCCCCTGCACAGCATCTAAGACCATGCCAAAGGTGAGGAAGGGAGAGAACACCTCCCCCTGAGGCACCCTGTTTTTCAGTCTGGGAGGCTGGGAAGCCAAGTGTGCCCCCTCAGCTGCCTCCTTTCTCCTCTGTGAGGTCTCCAAGGGGAGGTCTGGTGATCAAGCTGCTTTTCAGGAGCAGGAAGGGGCTTTTCCTGAATCACTGATACTCTCGGTGAGAGAGGGTGCAGCCTGGGATAGCGCTGGTGGGGCCAGAGAACAGAAGGAAGCCGGCCGATGTGCCTGGCTTGAGCTGGAACCCACACAATGGACTGCTCTTGTGAAAATTGCACCAATTGTTTCCAGGCAAGGGCTCCCCGCTGTGTACCAGGCACTGTACTAGCCATATTATAGGCTAGCTTACCCAACCCTCACCATGGCTATGTTTTACAGATGAGGAAACTGAGGATCAGAGAAGCTAGTTTTCTTGCCCAAAGTCATAGAATTAGTACCTGGCAGATCTAGGATTTTAACCCAGTCCAGTCTTATTCCAAAGGCTCTGTCCTTTCTCCTGCACTGTCTTACCTCTGTACTGAGTTCACATAGGCTGAGCTTGGGCATTTGTGTTCTGAACAGTGTGTGACTCGAGATTTGCTTTTGTCGTCCCCAGAGAGATTTGGATTTAGGTGTGACAGAAGTATGTCGGGAGGTGGGGGTGAGAAAATATTCAGACTCAGAGAGTGATACTCATCTCTCTTTGACCATTTGGCCTGTTTCACAAGCATCTTTTGAAAATTTTAATATCAGGATCCGCATACAGGCCAGCCTCCAAAGAAAAAAAAAAAGAAAAAATGTTAGTATCAGTAACGCTTTACCATGGAGGCTAGCCCCCCGATAAGATTATCTCATGGGTTCCGTTCTGTAAAATGTAATCTCCTGAGGGGCTAACTGTAATCTGGGGGTGAGACTGAGAGCAGCTGTCAGAAGAGGTGGAAATGAGCTGACTCATCTGATTGAAAGGAATTTCAGGAGTTGCTGGGGGTGTGGTCAGAGAGGCTCATTTCTGGACAGAGAGGTCTGACTGTTTTTGATAAGGGCTCCTCTGGCTTATCTTATCTCATTTATCTTACAAGAACAGACAATTGCCTCTTGATAGGACCAGGAGGTAGAAGCCCTTCTCTGGGGTTTCCAAAATACTGTCACTAAGCACAGCGATAATAAGGGCCCAATCTTTCTTCTCATCTCACAGGCTGCGCCAGCCCTGATAGTTGGCCCCAAAGCAGTTGGCCCTTTGCTTTCTCATTTTGGTCAGTGATTCATTGAAAATTGGATTAATTTTTCTCATCTGGCTACCTCCTAGACACTTTAATTCCAACCTGGTTAGAAAAACCTCGTTTACTTTTCATGAGGAAGAGAGAGCAGTCTGGTGGGTGGAGGCAGGATGCCATCCTGCTTAGGTGTTGGGGCTTTGGAGTCAGACAGCCTTGGGTTCCTGTCCTGGCACTGTCATCTGTCCCTATGAGGTATGTGTGACCACGGGTATGCTGCCTCTGTCTGTCAGCCCAAACTCTCATCTGTAAAATAGGAATAATGGTAGAACCTACCCCAAAGGGGTCCTGTGAGAATTAAATAAGGTACAGCGTGGGAAGTGGAAGATATTGCTATTATCTACTTGATATTCTGCTGGTGAAAATCGTAGGAAAAGATTTGATTATCTGAGTAAAGTCAGGATACGTAATGTGTCTACCACCACATGATTAGTTTTCCCTTAACACTAGTGCTTCACATTTTGCAAGTTTCTTGCCCATGCCCATCCACACAACAACCCTAGGAGACCGGATTTATTTTACAGTGGGAAACTGAGGTTGAGAGAGGTACAGGAGAGGATCCTAGTTTTATGGAGTCTGAAGTGTATACACATTTTGAGATCCCACTTAAGAAAAAAAACAACCTAAGAATGAATCTCAAAAGAGACCCATGCAAACATGGTCGGGACCTTGGAGCTTCACAGTAAATCTACACAGTCATATAGCTGGTTAGAGACAGAGGTAGTACTGGAACCTGTGTTCTCGGGCTTAACTCCTATGCTCCTTCCATTTTACATGATGTCCAGGACATGGTTTTTGCTCTTGAAGGACTGTAAGAATTTGTGCACATTAAATAACAGGATAATGCACTATGGTGTTATCTCATGAGTTCTCAGTAGGGTGAAACATCTAGTATTACAGTGTTTCATGGACTCAGGGAAGGGATCAAAGGGAATTGTGGGAGCTGGGAAAGGGTTTGAGGAGGAAATGAATATTTAGTAGCTAAGAATTAACATGTTTTGGAGGGTCTTGTCTGTATGGGGAGTTCCTTCCTGTCAAGGGACACAGCATTGCTGAAAGACAAGAATGCAGAGATGAACAGGACTTGCTTGCAGAGCAGTGAGATGAGGAGAGATGAGATATCTGTGAGGCAGATAAGCCACTGGGGATGCTTCTGAGTCCTGTTAGGGGCAGCCTGCCTTCTGCTTAGCTCTTCCTTACATCTGGTTTTACTTACGGGCTCAGGGGTTAGCCTGGAGATTGGCCTCTCCTCCGTGACCTCTCCTCTCCTTGCTCCATCCCCACTGGGACACGAAGGACAGCTTTGAACCCATTCACTCTGACCCTTTGCAGGAGCTGCACGCCCAGAGAGCTCACCGCTTCGTAAAACAAAGCTGCTTTTTGCAGGAAACTGGATAAGATATGCATTCCATTCTTCTGGAGCTCATAGTCTCCCCTTCCTTTTATTACTGGGCAGGGGTGGCATGGGGGATAAGCTTTGGAGACTAATGTGATCACTACCCAGAATCTCACAACTTTATTACTACAGCAGTTTCATTTTGCATACTTCTTCTGGTCTTTGCATATGTGCGAAGGCTCTACTGATGAACTGGGTTAGAATATGAGCAAGAACCGTTATGTCTTGTTTTCCAAGAGTTGTGTCACTCATTTGTCTGTCTTAAAAGTGTCATTCCATCTCTGGAGTAGCACTTCCCTTGCCAGGGAGGGTCTCTGGAGGAGGAAAGTCTCCTGGAAATGCCTCCTGGTGCCAGCTGTGTGCATGCTCTGCCTCCAGGTGGTACATTGGCAGAGCCCTCATATGCATGCCTACTATCCAGCCCTCACTTCTTGGCCATCCCTGCTGGGAGACATGCTGGCTGATGCGATCAACTGCTTGGGGTTCACCTGGGTGAGTAGCAATGGCTGAAACTAGTGGCAAGGGGAGTCATGGCAGGGAGTTGCATCCTAGGGCAGACATATTTTGTCCTGATCTCTGAACAGAGTTCCAAGATAAATATTAATAATGGCTACATTCTTTAAGCTTAAGCTTTATAGAATTATGTCATCTAATCCTTTACTGTGAAATCATGAATATTAGCCCATTTTGTAGTTGAGGAAATGGAAGCTTAGGTAGCTTATCTCCCTAAGATTACACAGCTTATTGAGACACGGATGAGATTTGGACTGAGATCTCGTTATTGCCACAGTTTGTGACCTTAACTAAGCACCTTGATGCCTGTTGAGTCACAACTTCCCCTGTGCTGTTGTCTTCAAGTAGTTAGAGATATGTCCCTAAGACTTCCCTTAATAACCCCTTAAGCACCACTCAAGTTTAAATTGTGCCAAGGGTCTCCTAGAACATCTTTATATTTCAAGCCTTAACTCTTAATAGGGTGTGTTTGAGGGGGCTTGGGGGGGCATGGTGTGGGAGGGATGTTACTATCTTTTCCAGGAAGGAGTACTTTCTTTCTTAGTCCTAAAACTTTCTCCTGGGCTTTAGAGTGTGTCTCTGCTCGGTATTTTAGGGACTTGGGGAACCAAATCCAAGCCAATCATTTCTTGGGCTCTTTCTCCATAGAACCTTGGAGAACCCACCTTATAGGGGGAAGCATGAATCCAAAGCCTCGCGTTCTTTTCCTTTTCTGGTTTGGCAGAGGGGAGGGTGGGGATGGAGCACAGTACAACTGTTCTCCAGGGAGGTTCCAATTGATACCATCAGGGCCAGGTGAGGGCCAGGGCAGAGACAGATGTATTTCTGGAGCTGATGGGGGTGTGTCTTGGTGCCCTGGGGCTGTGCAGACGAAGTTCCTTTCCATCTTTCAGGCTTCCAGCCCTGCGTGCACAGAGCTAGAGATGAACGTCATGGACTGGCTGGCGAAAATGCTGGGACTCCCGGAGCACTTCCTGCACCACCACCCCAGCAGCCAGGGGGGCGGCGTCTTGCAGGTGCCGCCATTGGCAAAGCTCCATCGAGCACAGGGGCTAAGTAGGGCGAAAATGCTGGGACTCCCGGAGCACTTCCTGCACCACCACCCCAGCAGCCAGGGGGGCGGTGTCTTGCAGGTGCCGCCATTGGCAAAGCTCCACCGAGCACAGGGGCTAAGTAGTGGTAGATAAACCAAACCCTTACCCGGCAGTTCTCCTGTTCTCCATGGAGTTTCCCACGTGCTACCCACACCATCGCCACCCACGCTGCCAGCACCACAGCTTCCACCTACCCTTGGCCACTACTCCCACCTCCACTTTCCACTTCATTTACGCTGTCACCGGCACCTTCACCACACTTCCTCTCTCTTTTCTTTGAAAGAGATTAAAAAGTCAACACAGTATCACATTTCCTGTATCATTGGAAATGTTCAGGTTTCCTAGTTTATAATCTGACTTCTCCCCTCTGTTATCCCATTTTACACCTCATGGCAGGAGAGGATAAGATAGGGGAAATATAGGACTGCTTTCCCTTCCTTTTGGGTTCAGGAGATCCTTGGCAGCAAGAGAAATTAACAACATAAAGTGATTAATTTTCTCCCCAAACCCTGTCTTTGATGGTTCTTCAAATACTTCTTTCGGTTAAGAGTAATGCCACAGAAGGGAGCTTTCTGGGTGCCTGCCATAGACCATATGTGTTGCTAGGTGATTTTGCATCTATAAACCCTT